TATTATAAAATTGGTATAAATTATTGTAAATGCAATGACCTTTATAATTAATAAAATTAATTATTGTATTATTCTCTAAAGTATCCAGACTTATGCGATTTCAATGAAAAATCCTTAATCGCATAAGTCAGAATATTTTATTAGCTCTAAAGAATCAAATATCTAATTTTAAAGTAAAATTCAAACATATATACTTTTTAATCCAATAAAATATTTTTATTATTTAAAGCATTATGGCAGTATTATATAATAAATATAATCTATATAAACTTTATCTAATCTATTATTCTAACGCTAACCATACTAACACCAATGCTATTGTGTAATAAATGATATAAAGAATTATTATATAATGATTCTATTTTCAACAAAGAGACTATTTATTTTAGTCAAAAGCCAACGAAGGATGCGACTCAGCTCAGGTGCAACTTCAGGCACCTGAAATTCCAACTTTAGCTTTAATAACAACCCGGGTAGTTATTACAATAATTTACAATTTATATACGATTTAATACGATTTAAAAAAAACTATTTTAACACTAAGAAAAAATTTAACTTTATATTTAATAAAGTTAAGAATCGAGATTGAGTAAATGAATTGGCCAGATCTTTTATTTAATCATAATTTTTATCAACATTTCGTTGTCATATTCATTGTCGAATTACAATTGTTTTTGTCAGCATTACTATTTTTTTTTTTTTTTTTTTTTTTTTGACGGTTTTTCAATTTTTTTACGGATCACTACAAATTGAATAAAAATCATAAACTTTTATAAAAGAAGGTTTCGTTTTTTTTCCTAGTACCAATATGTTTAAAAAAAAAAAACAAGATATTTGAATTCTTTAATTTAATATCATTTTATGTAAATTTTTAATTACATACGAAATTTATCTTGTGAGAGGTCAGGGTATTAATTAATAATATTTTGGGTCACTGCCTGGGATCAATCCACTAATATCAACAACCCAAGATATTATTATTACAAAAATTCAATATGCATGAAAAAATAAATCGCTATAATGAACTCTCGATATAGTGAAAACTAATTAAAATCTCGATATAGTGAAGTTAAGCTCAAAGCCAGTCTATATAAAATTCTCTCGAGGTAGTGAATTTACTAATAAAGCTCTCAATATAGTGAATTTTTATTAATGGAACGGATCACTTAATTATAACGAGAGTGAGTTGTATTATAAATTTAAATAGTCATTTGTGATCATTACTACCTGATACAAATGATGCATCATTTTGGTCTATATAAAATCCATTTAGGTTGATTTCAAATAAATTATGGTAAAATTCTAAATTATACTCAAGTTGTTAAAAATTTATAATTTAATTTACAATAAAATTGAATTCTAAATTATTTTGGTCAAGTATATTGTTTTGGAATTTATAAAATTTTTACATTTATGGTTACTAGGAGAACAATTACTAACACCGTTGTAAGAAATGGAATTTAAGTGGATTTGAAATTCTTAAATTTGGATAGAATTTATTTAATATAAACCTATGCCCTAACCCTAAACATTAATTCTGTTCCTTACAACAGCCAATTTGATATATTCTGTTATAACTATTCATTTTTTGCCCGAATCAGAAGAAAAATCGAATTTAAATCCGAAGGCCGAATCTGATTCCAAACTCTGTATAACTGCTTAAATTACATTTCATTTTTAAAAATTCTATTTGAACTTAACGGTCTTAGTATCATAAATCACTTTACGGTCTTAATACATGTTTGAGAAGTGTAAATTTCATCATACTAAGTTATATATTAAACCGCCTACTAGGAATAAGGTCAGTAAATTCGTTTGAACTAGCGTCTATTTTCCGATACAAAATCTTTCAAATATAACATCTAATATTTCATCAACTTCAACACGGCCAGTAATTCTACCTAATGCATTAGTCGCATATCTCAATTCCTCGGCTGCAAGCACTATATCCTTTTGAGCTACAAATATTTAAACCAAAAATAAATCATTTAAAACATATGATGGAATAAGATAAACCTAACCTTACCAAGGAAGTTTTGTAAACCATGAATACAGTTATTAAGATTTTCTCGATGTCGAGATTGTGTGATCAAAGCAACTTGAGCGGCAGAATTATCATATCTAATATCATGCGCGGATTTACAATCAAAATAGAAAAAACATAAGGTGAGTGTGGGTATTATGGCGAAGCTAACACTTCCTACTAATAAAAATTAAATAAAAATTTTTTTTTGATAATTTTTTTTTTTAAATTTATATGAATTTTATCTTAACAATTATATAAAAAAAAACTCGAGTTCAATATAAAATTATATTATTTAGAGGGCTACAACTTCTAATTTCGTGAGGGTATTATGGCGAACGTATGTAAATCGACGATCTTTTTTTATTTCTTCACGTGACCTGGACCTTGATGATTTTCTTTAATTAAAAATCGGGTTATACTTAAAAACGGGGTTCTTCTACTAAGCAAATCGAACTTTACTGACTAAGTAAAGTTGTTCAAAATGTCATCTTTTACTTACCCTCAAATTTTGGTGCAATATGGATAGCTTTTTATTAATAGATTTTTTCGTTATACGTTTTGGCGCAGAAAATTCCAAAGTATATAATGAAAAACCTCTTAATAAAAAGTTATCCAAATTGAACCAAAGTTGATGATAAGTAAAAGATGGAATTTACAATATCTTTACTTAATGGATAAACTTCGATTTGCTTAGTAAAAATCAGGTTTTCTTGTAATATGTTTAATTCGTCACAATACCCACATTCGCCATAACACCCACACTCACCTTATAAAACGAATGAGACTGATAGACTTACTTGAGTTTCAAAGAGTTCACAAATATGTCTAAAAATTCCTTAATACCATCTCCATTTATGCATGACAAGTAACAAATGTAATTTTCAGGAAAAGTGCTGGCAACTTTCCTTTTCAAATAAGCCAATTCAGATGCACTTAAAAGATCACTCTTATTAAGAACCAGAAAAGTATATTTATCCATAGATTCGTTTATTAGTGGATTTATGATTCCACGTGAATTTTCATCGTTAGAACTCAAAGATTTTAAGACTTCAACGCTAGAAAGGATACATATTTTTATGTCGGCTGAAAGCATACTGTAACCAAATTTATAGTTATGAACAGATCTTATTCTATAAGCATTACAATTTGATAAATATTACCGATCCTTGGCTCGCTTGATTCCTTCAATTTCCACGATATCATCAGATTGTCTTAATCCAGCAGTATCTCCAATAATAACTGGGTATCCACCAATATTTAATGAAATCTCAATGACATCACGAGTTGTGCCAGGAATTGACGAAACAATAACTGCTTGTCTCTGAGCTATAAAGCGTAAATTTAAGGATTATTTAAATATGCAATTTTTTTTTTTTAGAATCTTATTATCTCAGATAATGTACCCAAACGATTTAAGAAGCTGCTTTTGCCAACATTAGGAGGACCAAATAGTGTCACATGTATGCCATCTCGCAAAATTTCACCTCTACGATCATCGTTTACATGATCGATCATTATACCCAATATTTGTTTTATCCTTGCCACCACTATTTGGGATTGACTATGATTAATTATGGGACTATATTGTATATAAATAATCATCAAAAATAAGTCTTGCCTTGTTCAACAACTCCATCTTCAATGTTTTCATCTTCACTGAAATCGATTACAGCCTCTATTAATGCTGTATTCTCGATTAATTGTTTCCTCCAAGTTTCATACAAATTTTTTAGACTTCCCTATAATATCAATAAGCACGTGATTATTTGAAGATTTAAGCAAATAATTACGTGACATTATTTGTACTTGAGCCTGTCTAAGAGCTTGTCGCCTCTGTACTTCAGTTTCGGCATTCAACAAGTCGGTAAGCCCTTCGATTTCTGTTAAATCAAGTTTGTCATTGTCAAATGCTCTTTTTTTTTTGGAATAAATATTGAGTCGAGATTAAAAATGAAATGAAATATATATAATGAGTACTTGTTATTCGTCACATTGTGATTCTTCATTAGAAATACAGTCATGCGAATTTCACTCGTGAAATTTGCAGTTACACGATAATCGTTGTAGCAGCTTATGCTAGGATCTGGAGTACTCTATTTAAACCTATAATACCTACTAAAATCCACCTATACTTTTTACCTTTTTCTTTTGAATTAATAAAACTACCCTAAATCCTAGTCTAACCCCCAAAAAGCTAAAATGGTCTAAAAAAAGTTAAAATCCAAGCACAAGTAAATCCCAGCTTAAACTGCTACAATGGTTGTTAGTGCTCATATAAGACATGTCGGATAAGTAGTGTTTTAAGACACAAATGGATATCTCATACCTGCGAGTGAATTCGCCTCTCTCTGCATGCCTAAAGCCCTCAATAGAACCAAGCGCAGCTAAAACACCACTTATAATTGATATGCCACCATGTATGTGGAACTCAGCCACATCTTCCCCCGTGTAACTATTCGGTCCTAAATAGAGCGTTTATTGTTGTTGATATAAAAGTTGATTCTGTTGATTTCTTGATGTCTATTATACCTGGAAACCATAAAACCAACCCATGATCAAGCATTTCACCAGTATTTGGGTGTGTTATAATTCTATTTGTAGCTCTCCGTGGAATCGGGAGTGGTTTTTTCAAAGATTTTGGGGTCATACTTCTTAAAGCCTTTTTGACAATTTTAAAATTAGTACATGTATCAATTCTTTGACGTGTTATCAAGCTTATACTAACCTCTGAAGCTTTTGATCCGGAAACTCGAATAATTGAAATCCCTGCCTTACCTTGAGCGGTAGATAAGGCAAAAATCGTATCTTGTTGAGATAAACGTGTATTAAAATATTGCCTTCTTACATTAAGTATATCTAAAATTTTGCGACTAGCTGGTTTACGTAAATGTGTTATAAACGACATTTGTGTACTTTGCTCAAGATGGGGTAAATCACCACCCTAAAAAGTTTCATGACTAATCAAATCTCAAGATAGGTGTAACGTAGCACGATCAGGAAAATTCAAAACAAACGTTCGTCAAAAATTGCTTATAACCCTCTATGAAACTGCCTTCTGCGCATTAAAATAAAAGTTTTCCTTCTATAATAAGGGTCTATAGACACCAATCTAATGGCAAACCCCTAAATTTACTTGAAACTTTTTTTGGTGGCGATTCTACCCTTGTCATAAATTTCTCTCGGTCCCCTGTTTGGCCGGCATTAGTCCAGGGACCAACTGTCCTGGCGTTACCAACCTAAAAAAGAAACGCAAAAAATCAAAACAAACCAAAAAATCGCTCATAACTCAATATTTTGTCTATGAAACTACCTCCTGCGTATTAACAAAAAGTTTTCCTTGCTAAATTTGGTATTATTAGAGCCTTTTCTAACCTAACTTAGTAGAAAAACCTAACTTTAATCTAATAGCGAACGAAATTTTTACACAGTTTTTTAATTTTCACGTTACACCTGATCTTACTTCCTGATTGGATAGGATCATATCACGTTATTAAGGACCGGATCGTCAATTTTGCCCAATCAAAAATGCGATTTACCGATGACCAATAGAAACTTGGGATGAAATTAGTAAAAAGCCAGTTACATCACGGAGTTATCCGATATATAACCCGGATCAGCCCGAACAAAACAAAGCAAGACGCCAAAGACAAAAACATGAAAAATATAGGGGTAGAAATTGTTGATATATGATCATAATAAATTACCCGAATAACCTGGGTAATTTAATAATACCCGGGTAGGGCGGGTTCAACCTCTAGAAAAATATATAGAATGGCCATCTAAACTGGTCTTGGTTTACTAGAATGGTCATCTAAACCATTCTTGGTTTATTAATTAAAATGCAACTAATTAAAAAATCAGATATTAATGTTTATGTAGCTCACATCCAAAAAGTTTTTCTGCACGTGATCAAATTTCATCAAAACAATTAAATTAAGCACAAGATTTAAAGCATTAAAACCTTATAGTTAGATTAGATTAGAGTTAAAAAAATTTTGTTATATATTATAAAATTTTGCAAGAAATTTTTTTTATTAGAGCATCAAATGTGGTTTTATATACAAAAATTTGGGCATATTTTATTAACTTTGGATTGAATGCCAGGGCAGCCACAGGGCTACCCCTAACTTTGTTATATTAACAAGGATACATACTAGCTATATATACAACTTTTGGTTGTCTATTTAAGCAGTCTTGCATATATAACCCATATAAACTACACTAGATGTTGTACTTGTAACCCACTATTACTTAAGTTATCCAATTAAACCCTCTGATCAACTTAGCACCTCAGGATATTCTTCCTAAAGAGGAACTGCCGCTAAGGCTTCTTAGGACTACTTTATCCTCATAGTAAACCTACTAAAGCAGTCCATGTCCCACACATGTATCACTTAGATTTTTGATAATTTACACCTAGTCCGCAGTCAAGTACTTGCGGCTTTTTACCTCTACTACCATTACCTACTCTGTGTCTTTGCAAAGTTTACCCAAACCCCAGCACCCACTTTACAGACTATCAACAGTACTTCGATGCCAACCGTCGGTGCCTCAAACTTCCAATCCAGATGGTCCGGGAGGGACCAGTAGACATCACCTGGTATTCCAAATGAATCCTTTTTCTTTCGGCTAATTCAGCGGCCTGGTTGGTGTAGTGTTTGCCAAATACTTGGTCCTCGTTTAGTTTTCCTATGGTGTCTGGTTACCCAGATGATAATACTTTATATAG